CACGCACATAAGATTTTCTTTCGTTGATTTTTAGCAATCCCTTTTTCGGTCACACACTGTACAATAAATTAGTTTGTGTGTGTGAACATGCCAAGGTTATCATATCTAAATTTGCGTTAGTACGTACCATGTCGATTGCGGTAACGTAACGGCGATTAAGTAAAAGGCCTGAAATGAAGGATGATGGTTCGACTATAAAGTCTCGTCGATTTTCAATGTCACGTTCAGCTAATTAATGTTTGAACAGTGCGATTGATGATGTGGCGCCTTGACTCAGCCTTCAAATTAACCGCTTTTATTTCTCCATATCGATCTAATCGCAAGATTCGCATAATCGTGAGAAAATCCAACCTGATCCGGTATCACATGCACTGTTACCTGTTCAATACGTCGAAGTGTCACCAAACACCGCACCTTAGTGCCGAATCATCCTTAGGATTCACAAATTCAGAATGAGAATACGCAACTGAAACCCTCAACTCATTGTAAGTCTGTCCATTTGTCTATTATAGTCGCTCTTCTCAGAACTTAATTGAAAGCTATATAATTTCCATTCCTACTAAAACCACAATTCTGAAACAGTTTCCAGGGGTTTCCCAGAGCAACACAAAATTACAACGAAAAATCCGAACTTAATGGTTTCTGATAAGAAACACGCAATTTTCTATTTTTTTTAAGTATTTGTGTGTTTTGAATTTTCCTCAGACTTTTTTTTCGGTTATTAACTTCTTTTTCACCCGTTGGAATTTTTTGTTTTTGGACCGGGAGGACTTGCCAAATGACAGACATAAAAAAATGCAGTAAAAAAGTACTGTGAAGTGTTAGTTTTTAACATTGAGGTGAAATTCAAGGTGGACAGAATCCAACAACAATAATCGTCAAGCACTTGCTAAACAGCAGTCAAATATTTCATGGTCAACACCCGAAGTCTGCGAAAAAAATATCGTCTAGGAAGCTGCACGCTAATTTGCCATTACAAAAGTCCTCAGAACAGTTATTAGTTATAACTTGCTAACATTGTGTGTCTAACAATTACTGCTGTGCAAAATAAAACTGATTAATACTAAATAATACGTCAATCATCGCATTTGGCATGTCTATTTTCTTTTTGGGTACCTATAACTAGATTACCGAAAGGATAAAATAAAAATTTTCTGATAAGTAACCATGCCCTACTCCTGTTTCTATAAAAATATTATTTGAACAAACAAGCCTACCGGATTTACCCATGTTGTTATCAAGCAGATAAAAGGTATTACCTTACTAAGCGAAATTTTAATCGTTGTTTTTGATTTAATGGCCAGTGTCCTGCCAATCAAACCAGAATTGGGAACCCTTTCCAGATAACGCAGCTTAGAAGTACTCGACCTAAATTTTTAGTGTAAAATAAAGGGTTCACGGGAACAAGTTTACTAACCAAAGGCAGGCACCCTAATAAATTAAACACATGGGGTGGTATATTCCTGCCTTATCTCATACGTGCAGAGTATATAATAAACCATTTAAAATGCATTGCTTTGAATCGATTCATACATATATAGGTAGATACATACATAAAAGGGTTTGTAATATATACATAGGAAATAAGTGTACCAATTAATTTCTCTAGCCACCCTATTATCGCATACTTACGATAATCGAATGAAGGCAGATGATGATACAAAAATATTTTACACAAAAATAATCTGCTACAGTTTGATAAGTTTGGAGCCTATAATTTCTAATCAGAAAACTGAACAAGATGGTCCTTGCTCATATTTTCAACTTCATGTTTCCTCTACGATAACCTCTTGGTAAAGGCGTATAATCAGCCACATTTACCCTTTCTTTTTTGGGAATTTTTACAAAATTACAAAACGTCGGTTGCTCTCGTGCATTTCCACGTCTTTAGTATGGTGGTAGAGATACTTTTTAATGCCCGACTCTATATGGCAGATGTCGAACCACCTGCCCGAACAGCTGGCCCGATCAACCCGCACCCATTTTTTACCAAACAGAACAGGCAAGAGAACTGACTTTCTAATAACGGGTTGTTCACCCGGTTTTTGCAGTTAACTTACACACGCATCCCGGCAAAACATGTAAAATTTTCATAAACGACCACGACTGTTACATCCCTCGGGCACAATTATTGTCATTACACTACCCTCGTTGCAAAAAATTCATCTCACAGATGCAAAAATTGCAGACTGTAGGTACATGTACTGTACCCATATGATTAAAAAGACAGTGCTTTTAAAACTTTTGTAGGTAACTGGCCACGACTCATAAAAGTGTTACAGAAAAGAGACAGTTTAACATTTTTCCACAACGATTTATTCGCCTGTGATATAGGTAAATTTATTTTCCTGTCTGAAGCATATTTATATCCAACAAACTGTTGAACAAGATTAAAAGGATTGTGTGCTTTTTGTACTACGTATTTTATATTTTAATGTAGGTCGTTCCGTATTATTATGCCCTAAATTTGGGCTTGCTGGTGATTATTATCTAAATGTACAATCATTGGATAATAAATTTTCTGGTAAATAGAAAACATACGTTGTTCTTTCTACTATTTATAAAAATACTACTATTGGGACATCGTCTATAAAAAATAATTAGTCAGCGTCCTTTCAACGAGGCCACATTAAAATTAGAATTCTCCTTTTCACAATTATACCCTCTATACACTTACGTTTTGTAACATAATTTTTAACCCGTACGCATTTAAGAAGTTCGCTTGACAATCAAATAGGATTTCTCAATTTTCTCCACAATCAATTTGATTGATATGAAAATAAATAAAAGTAAAACTAAAATACTGGTATACAAGGGAAGAAAAAGTAGGGAAAGAGCGAATATAAAGATAGGAGACGAAAATTTAGAAGAAGTGGCTGATTTTAGATGGCTAGGAAGTCAGATAAGTCAGGATGGAAGGAGTAGTAGGGATATAATGTAGAGGGCACGCAGGGTAGTGTCGTCTTTAATAAAAAAAAGTTACTTGTATGCTCGCGAATAGTTAATTTAGAAATTCGAAAAAGGTTGTTAAAGGTGTATCTTTGGAACACGGCGTTGTACGAGTGCGAAACATGGACAGTAGCCGCGGCGGAAAAGAAAAGGTTAGAAGCGTTCGAAATGTGGTGTTATAGGCGGATGATGAGGAGAACGTGGGTAGAAAAGGTTAGAAATGAAGAGGTATTAGAAAGAATAGGAGAGAGGACTCTATGGAAGTTAATAAAAAATAGGCGAGATAGGTTGGTAGGACACCTTCTCAGGCATGAAGGTCTAGTCAGAGACATATTAGAGGCAAAAACAAAAGTTAAGAGGGGTAGAGGTAGACCTAGATTAGATTACTGTTCGCAAATAGTTAAGGATGTGGGCTGTTCTAGTTTTAGGGAAATGCGAAGTTTAGCTCAGAATAGGAAAGAGTGGAGGTACGTGTCCAAGCAGTCTTAGGACTGACGTCCTTATGATGATGAACCAATTTGACATTCCTGTAAAGAATATTTAAGATACATAATTTAATTTGCTATTTTTATTTCATTCTCTTATGTCGACATTGTTCATTTACAACATCCAACCGTGCCACCAATTTTTTCTAATCCTAAGGTGAGATCCTCTATTAAATCTTCGACATTTTCGATTCCGACTGAAATCAACACCATTTTAGGTGTGATACACATCTGTTCTTTCATTTCGTCGGGCATAGAGGCATAACTCATTGTGGCAGGCACCTCAATCGTACTTGTAACTCCTCCAAAACCAGTAGCCAGAACGAAATATTGCCGTTTACTGGCGAATCTTCTGACGTCGTCAGGAGAACCTTTTATGTAAGCACATATAAGTCCTCCGCAACCGGACATTTGCATCTTAGCAAGATTGTACTGAGGATGAGAAGGATGTCCGGGATAAAACAGTTTGTCCACTTTTGAATGGCTTTTGAGGAATTTGGCAATTTCCATGGCATTATCAAGTATACGATGCATTCGGAACATCAAAGTTTTCAAACTACGATTTATCATATAAGCATCGAAAGGTGGAATAGCAGAGCCCATCGTTTGTTGCAAACTTCTAATCTGAGTAGCAATTTTGTGGTTGTTTGTACAAACTGATCCTGCCAAGCAGTCGTTATGACCACCGGTACCTTTTGACAGGGAATCCACCACTACATCTGCACAATATTGAAAAGGATTTTGAAAATAAGGTGTAACGACGGTATTGTCGACAATGAGATAAATTTTTTTCTTTTTAGTAATTTTGCCCAATGCCGTGATATCTACCAATTTCATTAGCGGGATGGACGGACTCTCGACAAAAATAATTCGGGTGGTAGATTTTATCTTCTTCTCGAATTCATTGATATTGGTTTGATCCACGTAAGTGACTTGTATGTTATATGCCGATGCCACTACGTCCATCAACTGCCTGGTACCGCAGTAGTAGAGGTCTCCGCTGCAAATAATGTGTTCCCCGGATCGGACAAGGCCTAGACAGGAATAAATGGCCGCCATGCCCGTTGTAAAGCAAAAACAGTATTTGCAGGAGTACAGTGCTTTCAAGCATTCTTGCAGGACCGCTCTAGTTGGATTGCAAATTTGTTCGAATTCGGATTTGGCTCTCAGTTTCGACTGTTTATAAACTGCCGAAGTCACTACTGCAGGAGTAACGCACAGTGTGTTCCAATTCTCTGGCTCCTGTCCAGCATGGATGGCGAATGTGGAAAAATGACTGGGCAATGCACGAAGAAATCCAGAAGTGCATCTTGTACAATTGTTACTCGACGGCGTATCTTTTAGAACATCGCGAAAATCCCCGGGAGCATTACCTTTACAACATTCACAGGGCATTGGGCAAAAAAGATATTTCGAGGATAATAAAATAGTTTGACAATTTTGAAAAGTCACATGTGTCACAAATGTGCGATTGGTTAACGCGCCTCCTGTGATTTATTCGAGATATTTGGAGTAGGTACAATAAATTTTCAAGTTTGAATAAGAAAAAACAATAATAAGCCAAACATTTTGGAAATGTTTAATGAAATTATAAAATTCAGATTTTTGTTAATACGAAAATTACAGTTTATTTAAAGCTACCTCCATGTCTTCGATTAAATCTTCGATATTTTCAAGTCCGACATTGATCCGTATCATGGTATCCGTAATGCCAAGTTTATCCATTTGCTCTTTAGGCACATCTGTATGAGTCATCAAGGAGGGTATCTGTATAAGACTTTCAATGCCACCGAAACTCACCGCCAAGCGAAACAGTTTCAAACTTTGCACAAATCTCTTTGCTTCGTCGCCGCTTCCTTTCAGATAAATGGTCAAGAGACCACTGTGACCTGCCATCTGCTTTAAAGCAAGTTCGTGTTGGGGATGCGATTTTAATGCCGGATGTAGAACTTTTGCCACTTTTGGATGACCTTCTAAATATTTTGCCAATTCAAGATTGTTTAGCGATTGTCTTTTTACCCGGAGGGACATAGCCTTCAGACTCCTCAAACAGAGAAAGCAGTCGAACGGCGGGGCAGCAGTACCCATGAGGATTTGAAGGGTATGAATCTTCTCCGCTATGTCAGGAGAGTTGGTAGCAACGGCCCCCATTATCACATCAAAATGTCCGTTGACGTATTTAGTGAGCGAATCCACAGCAACATCTGCACCAAGGCTGAACGGGAATTGCAAATAACAACTTGGTGTTGAATTATCAACGGCTAGTATTAGTTTTCGCTGTTTAGTTATTTTGCTAACTGCGGCAATATCAACTACTTTTAAACATGGATTCGTTGGAGATTCAATGTACACCATGCGAGTATTTGGTTTAATATTTTTGGTGATTTCGCAAACTGTCGGATCCACATACGTAACCGAAACACCAAAGGAAGGGCAGATTTTGTTAAAGAGTCCTACTGTGCCACCGTAAAGATCGTCGCCGCAGACAATATGTTCACCAGATTTTAACAAGGCCATTACAGCAGTGACAGCTGACATTCCCGAAGAGAAGGCAAAACAGTATTTTGCCTGATACAGAGCGCCTAATGATTTCTCGAAAACTTCTCGGGTGGGATTGTTACGATGGGGCGAACCACATAAATCCAAATTTTGTTTAAACGCACTCGCTGTAACTAGAGGTGGCGCGACAGCCAGGGCACTCCAATTTTCCGGCTCATGATAGTAATGTATAGCTGTTGTGGCAAAGTGTTTGGGCAAGGCAACTTGGAATTCGCCGTTTTCATCTTCTCTAACAGTACTGTTAAAACGCGCTTGTGCGGATCTCATTATTTTTTTACTTAATTTGTTTACCTATTGTATTACATTAATTTCTTTATTAACATAACTAAAATTTTGACTTGTGTATATTGTATGATTACAAAGTGACATTTGTGTATGAAAAACGTAAATGTCAACATAATTTCAGCTACTTATAATTATAATAAATAAAATATTTTTTATTGCGCGGTTGAAGAGCAACATCCGCAGCCATCCAGGGCCCATTTTAAATCTTCCATAAGATCTTCTATGTTCTCAATACCAACGGAAATCCTGATCATATTTTCCGTGATTCCCACCTTCCTTTTCCGCTCTGGTGGGACACAAGCGTGCGTCGTAGTGTTTGGCATATTTATTAAACTAACAGTTCCGCCGAAACTAACGGCAGGCGTGAAATACCTTAAACTCTTCAAGAACCTTTTGCAATCGTCCTCGAACCCTTTCAAATAGAAAGAAAAGACTCCGCTATGTCCTGACATTTGTCTCCTGGCCACTTCGTGCTGCGGATGACAGGGAAGCCCGGGATGTAGCACACGTTCGACTTTCGAGTGGCTGTTCAAATATTTTGCAATAGCTAAACCGTTCGACGAATGCCGTTTCATTCGCAAACCCAAAGTTTTCAAGCCTCTGTTAACTTGATAACAATCAAATGGAGAAGGTGTACTACCCAAGAGCGATCGTATTATTCGAAGTTTAGAGTTAAGTTCGGTGTTGTTAAATATTAACGCACCCATAACAGAATCCGAGTGACCGTTATAGTATTTAGATAACGAGGAAATGACAATATCGGCCCCAAACGACAATGGTTGTTGCAAGTAACAGGAAGCTACCGTGTTATCAATAACCAACATCAACTTGTTTCTTTTGGCTACTTTCGCTAGCAAACGAATATCGATCACTTTCATGCAGGGGTTTGTAGGAGTTTCTGCAAAAATCATTTTTGTGTTTGGCTTTATGCCTTCCAAAAATTCTTGGGGATTTGCAGAATCCACAAAACTGACTTTCATCCCAAACGAGCCTCCAACCGTTGAAAATGTGTTAGCAGTACCGCCATACATGTCATCCCCGCACAAGATGTGATCTCCCGTTTGTAGGAGACCCAGCAGGCAACAAACAGCCCCTAAACCTGACGAGAAAACAATGCAATGCTTGGCGTTGTGAAGAGCGGCCAAACAGTCCTCCAAAACATCCCTGGTAGGATTGTCCATGCGACCATAAAAATAGGGGGTCCTTTCAACAGGACTCAGCTGTTTATATATACTTGATAACACTAAAGCCGGCGTAACACATAAAGAATTCCATCTTTCCGGTTCTTGACCGGCGTGTAACGCAAGTGTGGAGAAATGTGCAGGAAATGGTAGGAAATTATCCTTTTCATTATCATTTTCTTGGCACGAACACGACATTATTGTATTATAGTTTGTTTTATATAATGTACCTACTAAAAATTTTGACACAACACCAAACAGTACAAATATGAAAAGAAAATGGGACAAAGGGTGAAAACGCTTACCTACTTGATTGTCTAAATTATTTTATAAAAGTGATAAGCACGTAAACCATATGGAGCAAAATATGTCAAAGTTTGTCAAACATTTAGTTAAAATTTTTATAAAGTTCCCTATGAAGGGAGCAAGTAAATTTCCAGTATTTGTGAGTGTGTCGGGACTGTGAACCTGGTTCTGCAGGATATATGTCCCAGTCTACGCAATAAAAACGATTTTATAATCAATTTATTCGCATTTTTCAATTAGAAAATTGGCTAAAAATATTCATCTTACTTTGTAAAATATTGTCAAGATACGAAATTGTTGATGTAAAAGACGAAGAAAAACTACTCAAGGACAGCTTTTTGAGAGCTTACCAGACAACACCAAAAGCACCATATCCGATGGGCCGATCGGGCTGGACCTGCTCCTGTGTATGGGCGGGAGCGGCGGCATGTTGAGGGTGGTAATAGGGCTGCGCTGCATGCAGGCCACCCTGCTGTCCCCCCGCCGTGGGGCCCGCTGCTCCTTGCATCAGGCTCATCGACACAGACATGGACACTCTTGAGTGGCGGCTGGGGCCGACCACAGCCATGAAATACTGCACCAGTTCGAAAGATTTAATTTAACCGCATCACACGAAACCACCGTAACTTGTAATTCTCGGACCGACCGATATTGAATTCGTGAAAACTCTTGCTTCCTATGAAACGTCCTTATTTTTACCCTGCTTAGCGATATATGGTAATTGTAATAGTGTAGCAATGATAATTAACCTGGTTAAGCTAAAGGTTACACAGTAGTGACAAATGCTGAGTTTATTTAAGCATAATGTTCCTAATCTGACACAGAAAATTGTTCAGCCTGTTTAGCTCAAAAGCACTCACTAATAACGTGAATTCACGGTATATAAAACACAATCATCCAGTTTCGGTTAAGTGTATGTGTGAACGGGTTCTCTTTTTGTTTGGATAAGGAAGAGGTGACCTCGATGTATCAAGTTTGCAATTAACCACTTCGGCTGTTTCCTCGAACGTATGTTTATGCGTGCATTACTTTATTTTCCTTTTCTATTAGAATCTAGCTAGGCACTAACCACAAAACGAAAAATTCTAATTGGTGTTAGGTCTCCTTAAAATCGCAAAACAACTGATAAGATCGTTCGATCTTGCATGGCGTCAAATTCAGCGTCTACGACAGGTCACGGTTTCTTTTATCGAGTTACTTTCTATTATCACAGTTCTCTTGTTACGATTGTTGTAGAAATTGCACTTTGCGAAAAGGAAACGACACAAAAGAATAAGTTAAAAGGACTATGTTTTTGTGTAGCACGCACAGCACAAACACAACCTGCCCCATTCAGAAGGAAACTGAAAGCGAAGTAAGCCGAAAGCGGATTTTGAAGTTACCGAACAGTTGCGTCTGCGCGTTTTGGTTTATAACAGCTGACTACTTAAATGAAATTTAAATAAGACAAATTTCCTACTAGTATATGCAACCAATCTTACATTTCAATTTATTCGTATTTCGATAAAGTTTATATGCAACCCATATCACATTTATAACGCGTAAAATTTAATTAGTTATTAACTCTAAAAGCCCATTAATATTTTTTTCTTCATTGCTCTGTTGAAAATAGCAATTTTTCTAAATATCTCATTATTTAATCATCATTTAAATGCCAATTCTTCAATCAATTAAAAAGCAAGTTAAGCACAATAAATTACAAAATCAATAAAGAATCAGACACAGTTTAAATCTTTAGTTTAATATTAATATGTTTTAATTGCTTGAATCTCTATTTGATACTCATTTCAGTAATTAATTGTTCTTTGTTCGTTCATAAATTGTTTAATTTGTAAAGGAAATTAAAACAAACAATTACCAAATTAATAATGTATTGGCATAGGGTTTGATTTTTGGGCATAATAAAATAAAATTTTCACAGTTTCATTAGTACCCATGTACACATGTAAATCCTTACAAGTTTTGTTTATTTATATAAATGTATAATAATATAAAAGTGATATGCTAGTTTTAGAAACTTACCAGTTTATGCAAACTTTTAATTTGTACTACTAAACAAAACATGAAAACTGATCAATATGCATGCATGGTCATAAAGATAAATTAACGTTGTAATAATAATAAAATTAATTAATATATCACATTCATTAAAGTACATACAATAATCGGCAATAATACAGAAAAAGGAGAATCAAGACAATTCAAATCCTGTATTGCACGAGACTGCATATCTTAACTTTTCACGAAGTGTACTTTTCTTTTGGTAATTTGGCAATTTGAGAAGATTAAAGCACGTGGAAGATGTTGGCAAACGATTTTGCGGGTCTTTCTTTCTTATAGTGAAAAACCCACGAATAACACTGCCTGTTTATAATCGTTTAATAATTACACAAACAAAAAAAATATTTTATATTATGTAAATCGTTTCTTACCAATTGTGTCTCCCGTATCCTCATCATCTCCAACTTCAACACATCTAATGGAAAAGGGCGGTTCCAGATGGGCAAAACCTAACAAAGGGGGCTTCGAGCAACTTGTTACAAACTGAAATAAGTTTTCAGTTTATAAAAAGTGTCAAGAAAACTACTAGAAATGTACTTTTAATTTCATTATACCTTAAGGAACATTCCCTTCTCTTCATCTGAAAAGTCTTTATCAAGTATATCCCAGAGCCAATTAACGACCCTGTGAGAGTCATGGAAACCCCCGTAATATTGTGTGTGTTTTCTTAAATCTTTTAAATCTAGTGGAACATTATCGCCCGAAATTAAACGTTGAAGCTAAAAATAATTTAATTTAATGCTTAAGCTATAACCTTTCTTGAAAACTTCTATTATAAATTACCTCTGGGGTTGAAAATAACGATAACCATTCAGGACTTATAATGGACCTGAAACCTCTTATAAAAGCCGCTGTCTGGTCTTTAATTTGAACATGCATTCGAAAGTGAGCCATTAGATGAATGTAATTTATTCTGTAATTTACCTAGCGTTCATTAGCCAAACTTTTTAATATGTTAATGTCAAGACCACTTACTTATTGTCGTTGGTAACTGATACGGCTTTTCCTCCAGGTATCAGTTCGTGGGTGACTAGTTTTCCCAAACAATCTTCATCTGCAGTAAAGGAAAGGTCCAACTCGGACACATCTCCTTCATAGTGTTTAATATAGTTTAAGCTCCTATAAAGATCGGCATCTAGAGATGGTAGTTCATCCACACAACTGTACAAAGCCTGCGCAGTTTGGCCCAGAACTTGACTTAAAAAAAAAGACGCAAAGGGCACGTCGACCACGATCCCTTCGTACACAGCCTTTCCTAACATCCTACCAACAAATTCAAACAGTTGCAAGTGATTTTCTTGTAAATAGGACGTGGGAGAGGGATATAAACGCTCTTCACTGGTTATTTTAAAAAGATTTAGTCCTGGGTCAAAGACCTTTTTAATGCTTTCTTCAAGGAATTCTTTAAATACTCCATCTTGGTCAATACCAGCCTCGTCTAAACCTTGTTCGTTAATAAAACGTACACGAATAACACCTTTAAGATTTTGAGGAAGGATAAGAGCCAGTTGGCGGTAACCGTCCTCAACTATTCGAGATCTAGATTATAAACAGACATTGTGTAAAGTATTTTCTCTCTCACTAATTTTCTTACCTGTGGACGGTAATAAGTGTTGACTGAGGAGAAGCACATGCAGATTCTGTCAGCCCTAAAACCGTTTTCTCATTAATAATGTATTTTCGGAATAGTCTAACTCTATCTTCATGTGGTATAATATGAGGCATCGTCTGCAGTAAGATTTGCTGTGCTCTCCGTCCTTTTTCTAAATCAACCATGAATGAAGAGACTTTGATTTCCTTAATTAGCCAATGTCCAAGAGGTGTGTATCTTCTTCTACAATCCCTTTTGTACAGCACAATTAGTAATGTGTGAAGGGACTGGAAAAGTTGATTACTTTGAATAGACTTCAAATCTGGAACAAACATACACATATGTATACCACACAATAAGAATTTGATTAACGATAAAAATTGTTTACCTATTAAACTTCCTATAACTATTTTGTAAAGGAAAATATTGAGAAAATTGGATAAGATAACAAAATCGCTGAGTTTGAAAGGGTTTTGCTGCTCATACAATTCCATGTCATCTAAAATTCTGCAATTACGACGAAAAATTAAAAATACTAATTATTTTAAAATGTAAAAACATTCTTACGTCACATAATGGGTCATACAATCAGAAAAAAGTTGTAGCATTTGGAACTCAGGTGCAGTACATTTGGTATTAACAGCTAGATGATCTAAAAAAGTCTTTAAGCCACAATTTGGTCCAAGGGAACATAAAAATAACCAGAGATCATAAAGAAACCTATCTCTATAGCACAAACCTAAAATAAAAATAGATTTTTAATTTTATTAAATTGAAGGAAATGCAAAAAAGAGAAAACCTTTACCAGTTAATATGTCTAATTTCAACTGGGTTAAAGTGTGTAAAGCTGTATGGTATAAGGAACACATCAATACTACTCTGTGTACTTCAGGACTGCCGAGAGATCTGTAGCTCTTTTGAGTGTTTGTTTTATTAACCCTTGAATCGAGAGCTCTTCTCAGAAAATTTGTCCCTGAAAAATGATTGCTGTGTCCTGAAGAACCTCCTGGAGCATGAGGTGCTTCCAAGTTCTTCACCAGAGATGATAAAAATTTTCCTGTAAAAAATTTGAGGTGTAAAAATTCACTCCCAGGTTTGAAAGGTAAGTACCCAAAAGAATGTTAACTATTTCTGAATTCCATAACAGATGAAGTTGCATTTTTACATGAGGAATTGCTGCATGAAGTGCTGAATCCATTGGTTGAGCAAACCATCCTAAAACTGGATGCCAATGGGTCAAATTTGACTGTTTTACAACAACATAATGTTGACAACTCTCTAGTAGACCCGTGACAACTACCTTATAAAAAAATTGCATCATTTACTATTTTCCCTTTTGATTTTTAGAATACATACTGTAAATGAAGGAAAACAGATTTCCTTCAATGTAGTGTCTCTTTCTATATATCCTAATTGTGTTATATTTGCAAGGAGACAAAGTGCATAGTTTCCTTCAAGTGTATTAAAAACTATTCTCATTGCTTGCTGATTAGATAAAAGTTCAATGCTTCTTAGAAAAATTTTATTTGTTACTAAAACTGTAATACTCTGAAATTAAAAAGAAACATAAAAATTGCACTTTCTAACTATGAATAAGAATATAATTAAAACAATGAAAACATTAGAAAATAATAATGTAATCAATTTTACAGGTAAATAATAATACAGTTTAAAAAAATATGTACTTACGTCTGGTGTCACTGTTTGTAAATGTTGAATAATACCAGGCACGGATAATATTTGTATTAAAAACATGGTCATAAATTTGTCAGAAAAGTCTGCGGCAATAAGTGGTCTTAAAGCTAAAGTAATAATTGCTGACAAGGATGCTGCCTTAAAAACAATTCTTAATCTACTCAATCCCTTAATTAAAAGACCCTGAAAGTACAATAAAATTATAACACTTTAACTTATTCATCTTGCTACAGCTATCATTTACCTTAAGAGTTAAATAAAATCCTCTATGAAAAAGCTGTCCCATAAAATTTGCACAAAATTTACTCATGCCAGGCTTGAATTGTTCTATGTTCTTATTTTTCAAAATTACCCAAGTGCTTGTACTTGTAAAAGATACCAACATGTGTAAGTATAATAAGACAAATTTCATGTCACTAGCATATTCTGGCTTTAAGTCATCTAAATAATCACAACATTTCCACAGGATATCATTCATATGTGAGATCCAATGTATCACATGGTTTTTGTTCAAAGCTATTCCAACATAGCTGTATTTCGGTGAATTGCTATCAAGTGATGCTATCATATACCTGCAGAGTTTTGCAAATCTCTCCTTGTCTCTTTCTTTTTTCCATATTAACAAAAATAGCCTGACCTTTTGATAGATCTCAATACTGGGAGTAAAAGACGTTAAATTTACTTTATCTTCGGGTACATCAGGAACAATAACATCAAAATCGTTTCTAAAAGATAAACACAACAATAGTCTCAACAGCAGCTAGAAATGATTACTTACAGTATATAATTCGTGAATTTTATTCTTGCAAGCCATCCCCGGATATGAGCTTGTAATAATACAGCCGATTGTTCCTTCTTTTTTTCAAGTGCTCTTTCTTCTCGAGCTGCTTTGGTCTGTTCGAGGAATGACGTCTTTGCGTCTTCGCCTTTACTAAACATTTTGAACGATACTTGTCAGATAAATGCTGCGTAACATATTATAACTCTGATGCAGTTCAAGTGATTCGCATTGTTTTTGTTTATTGCTCTCCAGATAATTTTTACACGTCCTGATAACAGCTAACCTAACTTTTGTGTTATTAAAAGTGACAGTTATTCTTCTTTTCCTTCACGACTTCATGACGTTAGGCTAGATTGCGTGGGTGGTGTAGGTGGGTTTTAAGAAGCGTTCAGTTATTGGAATCCCAAACTAATTCAGTCTTATTAATTTGCTGAACCTCGATAATCTTCTGAAAGAATAAAAATTAAATAAAAGTGTGCAGTTTTGCAATTTATTTCAAAATCATATATAAATTTGTGTTACTTGTGCCCCATTTACCTGGATTAATAATTATTTCGTTGTTTTTAACAACTGTACATGTTTTTTTCATGTACCAAGTGTGGAGGAGTACACTTTTTTATTTTGTAATTAATTATAACGAGAATTATAAGTAATATTGCATACATAACAATACCCAACCAAAACAAGGTCCTAACATACATGTTTTTATTAGGCATTAACTCTTGTGGTTTAAATATGGTTAAACCCAAAAACAGGCCTGTTATGGCCCCACCAAGGTGGGCACCCCATGAGATAATGGGTTCGTGACGAAATTGTAAATGGCCTATCCCATAAAAAACGTCGGTAATTACAATAAGCCCAACTGCAGTACAGCGCAATATTTTATGCTTTGTATTTTCATAATTCTGCAATGAAACATACAAAATTTGATACTTGTGAATTATAAAAATAAAGATAATTACCAAAAGAATGTGTGACATATGAGATAACAGAAGAGAATATGACCCAGCTGAAGCCCCAACAACAACATCAGGACTCATACATGCTGCATTCAGGGCTCCAGTGATTCCCCCAACGAAATAAACTACTAAAACTCGTAAACTTCCTTGAATTTTCTCCAAAGCTATGGCAAAAAAGCACTGGACGATTATATTTAATGCTAAGTGACCCCAACTTGTATGTAAAAACATGTATGAAATAAATCGCCAAATTTCGAATTGCTGATTGGGTTCAAATCGCAACAATCTAGCTGTAGAAGGGGTTGAAGTAAGATAAAATATTACCTAAAAGAGAAGCTTCCATAAAATATATTATAGTTTATGTTAGTTTTTTTTTACCTGTATAATGCTTACAGCGAATATACCATACCCTACTGTATACCTTTTGTACCAGGGAATTGAATTAAAATGCAGTTCATCAAGTGTAGGGCAGTACTGATTTGTGTAATGAATTCTAGACATTGACGTTACGAATATCTTCATTTTTCCTTTCTCTTGAAACAATTCTTTTTACAAATGAGCTACAAACCCAAAGCAATTACTTTCATGGAATATTTTATTATAAATTATTAAATACTTACCAATTATAATCATATTCTTTGGAAAAAAAACAAAGTAACACGTTACACATTCAACTGATTATTAATAATTAAATCGAACAATTAGGTACATGGCCCATCTTACTTAGTAAATCAGAAGATTAGCATTAAGTTATTGAGTATAACCGCAAGTTCCCAGTGAGAATGTGAACAAATTACATCGTGTTCACAGCTTTGTTGGATGTCGGTATAAAATAAATAAATTCTAAATTTAAAATACTGCGGCATCTGATATACTTCCTTCCATATCGCCGATAGGTTTTAAGGTAAATTTAACCAATAGTTTTTCGAATTTCCGTAGATATTATCCAAATATTTACATCAGGCCAAGATCGAACAGATTTAAGAGAAATCTCCGAAAACTTGTGCAGTAAATCATGTACAATCCCAGCTAGTTTTCGGAATTGAATGTAAACAATGTTTGTGATGGAGTACTGAGAAAACGTATTTATCTTGTCGAATAGCATGTTCGTCTATTTGTAGGTGTTTTTAATTGATAAGATAAATAAATAATCGATATTAAGTAAATGCATTTTCTTCCTAAAATACATGTATTTCTACATGTTATACCCAAACTCTAATCACATGTTTGTTCCGGTTTGAGAAATGAGAAGTACTTAATTTAGATCTTAAATAAATTTCTACATGTAGCATCATTAAAAAATATTACTTGTAAATACAATGAACCTCAAATTTCTCGTTTTACTTACAGGAATAATTAATAAAAGAGGATATGTTCTGAGTCTGGCTGTTTAGAATCGATTCTTGATTGCTGTGACTTTTATATCTTTCTTATTTCTATATGACTACTGGCTATAAATAGTCAACAACATTTTAAACTAAATATATTCACAGACATTGTACGTCATTTGCCATAATTTGGTTTATAAATGATAATAAATTAACAAAAACTAACAAATTAAACTGTTAAAGTATAAACGTCATTCGAAACTGTCACTCAGGTAGGTATGCAGTAGTGCAAACGCCAAAACTAAAAAATCACTATTGCAATTGAATTTTTGAATGAAATTTTTAATGGCCGCTTTACGGTTTCATTCATAAACGTTACTATAGTATTCGTAGTAACCATTGATTGATTCTACGTAGGTTATTGACCCCGTTTAAAATAAACAGTATGTAAGAGGGATGAAAAGATGATTAGTTAAAACAATTTATGAAGTGAAAATAGTAAATGTGGTATACATTTTCAATAAAATAGTTTTAGAAGTACCTAATATACGGAGATATTAATAATAAATTCGATTTAACTTCAATTTTGGGCATAAATTGACTTATATTTAATTTTTTGTTTCGACAAATTGTAGTATTTTACAAATAATTAAAAAAATGCTAATTTTTTTTGTAATTTCTCATATAACACATTCAAAAGTATTATACCTTTTCGGTGATTAAAATTTTGTTACGTTATTAAGCGTATTGTACCTATTAATATTAGTTTTGAATATTTTCTTATTGCACGATAATATATTAAAATGCATTTAAATAAACATTCTGTATAATTCAAAGTTTACTAAACGTTGTAGGTTAATCTATACGATGGAAGCCTGCCAAATAATGTTCAAAGAGAGACTTAAAAATTCGATTAATTGCATGACTGCTTCAGCAGTGAAAAGGGGTCGGAGGGTGACAAACCAGATACGATAATGATACTTCACAGTCGGTAGAATGTTGTTTATCATCACCCTCTGCTTTACTACCTTCCTGTCTATTCTAACTGGCGACTGTTTCTCGGTCCCTTTTGAATTTCTCTGTATGTGGCCAAAGTATGATCTGGCTTAACGGTTTTAACCCCTTACTAAATCTATTCACAATACACTCTCATATGGTGATTGTCTTCAAACACATTTTAATCTAAATGTCACATAAATTAGATCTATAATGACTGTTTTTCTAGAAATATTCGATGATTTTATTAAACTGATACCTAGTACAGATAAAGACACCAATAAATAAACATTAAGTTATTGAAGAAAAGCATCTTTTATTATGCTGCATAACACTTACTCGTTAGTGTACAAATGAGATTGTTTTGTTGTAATCTTATTAAGATGATAAAAGCCGTACAATTTCCCAAAGTTTCAAGGAATCTTAAATAACTGTGTCTACAAAATTACAAGAACTGTTTAAATCTTTAGGACTATTAAGTTTTCGAAGATATTCTTTATTTTTATTCACGATGATGTACATAGATTTTCTGTGTAATGTTTTTCTGGGGGACAAAATTGTTTATCTAATTTATTGGTTGGCAAGTAATTTTTTATTCAAAATTTCAGAATAATAAACGGATTTAAGAAAAAGCCGTTTCAAATCCCGGTATTAGAAACGATCTAAAGATAGGAATTACGTGTTTTTTTGCCATTCTTTTTTAAAAGTATGTTTCATACGCGTTTACATTCTTTTTAATCATCGTTGTACGTTGGCTTTTGTGATTGTGTACGAGTTACATAAACTGCTTACATGGACATTCCTTTGAAAATTATAGATTGCGTGCGAATGTGTAAATATTTTAATAAAATCTCCACTTTAAGAATTCTAAATCAGGTCGAGTCGAAATTCGCTAATTACTGTTGCGGTATTTTTGTTTGTATAGACCTCTTACGGTTAGCGGATCTAATGGGTTTTGAAGTAAACGACCAAGCTCAGCTTTTTTTTTATTATGAAAGATACATTAATTCCTGCTCGTCACCATCAGGGTATATTATTCTTTTTTTTTTTAAACAACCGCCAATGTTTCGCCCTAAGATATAGGGCATTTGTAAGGCTAGTTTTTGAAGTTAATAAAGATGCAAAGTAGAAAGAATATTTTAATTATGCAACTGTTTAGTTTTAATTGTGAATTCTAGATGCTATATTTAGTGTTTTTAATTGTACAACTGTTGAGTTAGTTTGGTTTGTTATATCTAATGCGTAGGCATCAAAAAAGAATATTATTCCATCTGTATTGCATCTTCATTAACTTAAAAATGCCAGTCTTGAGAAAGTCCGATAACTTAAGGCCAAACTTTGACGGTTGTTTCTTAAAAAATAAATAACTTTTAACCCCCTTGGCTTTGATTCCACACCGATTATGAACAGAGAAAGAATAGAGAATATTATAATTAATATAATTAACTATACAAAGTGGTGATGATTTCAGAAACTAACAATCTTATGAATCTCCACCCTGCATTGAGATTAATAGAAAGTATCGATTTAATGTTTTATAAATTTAATCTACAAATTTATTTTATTTAAATTACTTTTCGGAACCATAAACGTGAGTGTGTAACGATTCGTTGCATTTTTATTTAAAAGTGGGTCAATGAACACATAAACGCATAATCCAATTACTGTACATATGTAAATGTATTACTTACAATTAAACATATCGTATGATTAGCTGCACAGTTAATTTTACCAATTTAACTCGGCATTCAACAATCCTAATTGGGCGAGCAGGTCAATTATTAAATCATTGTATGTATGTGTGTGTGTGTTAAGAATATTTTTAATTCCTTATCCTATAATACAACAATTTCTACTACTTATTCACTAGTAGAAGAGTAATGTCTTGGGCGGCCAGAAATTTTAATCTTAACATACGATCCTTTTGTAACGTACCTACGCAAAAATAAAACCTGCAATACATTATGGCAAGCAAAACAAAAAAAAAAAAGGAACATAAACGAGTACATGTCAATAACATTGTTGGTAGATAATAATTGAACATTTTTCTTATTTATTACAGTCATTTGTTTTGTTGGACTTCACAGCTCGAAAGGTTCGTTGTTAATATCTAATAATAAAAGTTGACCGGCTAATGGCACCGAGGCATTGTTATAAGATTACCGTCTATTTTATTTCGGCATGTTATACACCTCATAGTAGGCGTAGAGAACAGCGGTTGGTGCCAATTTTGAATGGACTTCCAATTAATTTTTGTTATCCGCTAGTTGATACACAACTTCGATTTCCTTTTAAACGATTGAAAGAATTCGAGAAGGCATATATCCTTTATTTTCCAGGTGGGCATTTTGAAACTATACATACTTGTAGGAGTAGTTACAGTAATTAATTTTAACCGAAGAATGTACAGAATCCTTCCAGCAAGACGCAAACAGCTCATTTAAGAATTTAGGAAAAAATAAAAACAAAAAAGATCTAGAGTAATAGATTGCGAATGGACTTCGTGACCTTAGCGTAACCTGCCATTAGCTTTTATAATTCCTATTTGTAATAATTTTATAATAGGTATCTATATTTATTTAGTTTAAAGACATTCAAAATCATCATCATTAGGTCGTCAGTCCTAAGACTGGTTGGACACGCACCTCCACTCCTTCCTATCGTGCGCTAATCTTCGCATTTCCCTAAAACTAGAATGTCCCACATCCTTAACTATTTGCGAACAGTAATCTAATCTAGGTCCACCTCAACTCCTCTTAACTCCTGTTTCTGTCTCTAATAAGTCTCTGATTAGATCTTCATGCCTGAGAAGGCCTATTTTTTATTGACTACCACATTCAAAATACCATTTATAAATTGTGGTAGTAATTGTAAACAGCTTTCAAATACATATTTAGCTTATCGAGAACATTCTCTATATGATAAAGACATTTAAAGAAAAATACTTTCATTGAACGTGTAATGCAATGAGCTATTTATCAATCTCTACTGCACTCGCAAGTGGATTATTACATTAATTGCTTAACTAATGACTTATATACAGAGTTGACGGCTTTGTTAACAATGATTAATGGAACTAAATTGATATCTTTCAGGTGTTTCACTTTAATTCAGGAATGTTGCATTTGTAGCTAATTTAAATCGACACAAAGAACTTGCTGTCTACTTCATTTTTGAATCCGAAGAATTGATATTGTTTCTTACACATACTTATATTCAATGCTGACCGTTGCAAATCATTTTATTAAGATCGCTGTAATTCTGGTATTTGGTACAAGTTGATCGACGACCTACTTACTTGTCAGTTTTTATGAACTTAAAATCTGAAGACCCCCTTTCGTGGTTCCCCTGCTAATTATTGTCTAATATTAAAGATTATTAATACAAATAAATTAGGCACTTTAAAAAAATGTGAAAATTATTCTGGTGGTCGTTTTTAAGAAAACCAAAATCGCGGTTACGCATCGAATACACAAGTGACTTAAGTAATAAATATTATCGTCCAATGGTCAGTTTTAAGTCGCTTTTGAATTAACACAAGAAATGGTGGGGTGGGAGACAGTCGACGGCTCTCTCCGACCCAAGCCAACAACAACTACAAGAAAGACAGCGCGCAGACAGTACGAACGACCGAGTGTTTGATAGTTAGCGCGTCCTGTTGCTGAAAAGCTCGATAGCGCCGGATGTGAAGTTATTTGAAATGGGACTGAATAAAATACTCTTAATAAAAATTATGACAGAAACACCGCTTAATATAATGAGTTCGATACAGTGCGTTTAAAAAATCGGCGTTTCTCGTATGTTAATGAATTGTTATTGGTGAAAGCTCCGCGAGGTGACTGTAGCGGACAAAGTTGTTAAAATTCCACGCGAAACAGTGCTTAGCGCTCGGCATTATTAGAATTCCGTTTATAATAGGACCGTTTTGAAACTGCTTTTGACGTTAATGACCTTGGCTTGTAAAAGTTGACCGATATCTAACTATCGATAATAATAATAATAATGATTCGGTGCACCTTTTATTATTATTTTTATATCGCGTTATTCGCCGCTGTGCTGACTACAACCTTTTGCCTGAAGAACGTCACAATTTCGAAATGTTGTGAACTAGGGCAGTCGTTGCAAAAGGAGTCGAACTATTCCTGCGTGAGCACGAACAGGACCAGTTGGACTCCGCAAATTTACTCACCGAGCAAACGAAAGTTTTTGACGGAGGGAACCGTTCCCCAAAACTGGATACTGAATCCCAGCAAAAGGCCCGATTGCGGAGAATTCGAAACGAAAATCCTGTCTCTCGAAAGACAGAAAACGTATATCGTTTTTGAAAACGGGTCTTTAATGCTTTTTGACGATCTCGACAATCTGGTGCATCCAGATAAATATTGTATTGACTATAAGACTGTTATTGCGTGTTCAATTGAGAAACAGCCGCAAGTAAAAGTTAAAAAATGTTGCGGGGATGGAGGCATTTATGTCGACATAAAAAAATCTTGTAAGCCCATGAATGGATCTCATTACAAAATCAGTCTGAACGAGGACTTCAAGTTGGTATCGGGGTTTCCGGACTGCGACAAGCACATGATTATTGCTGGGAAGTTAAAGGACGCGGAAATATTTAGTAACGGAAGCCTATTGTTAAAGGATGTCAATGTTCTTCTACCCAGTAAACACTTCTGTTTGGAGCACGTCTTGGAAAATGCAGGTAAACGGTTTATGTGCCTTTAAATATTCATGATCTTCAAGAAAGAAAAGTTTTTAAGAATTTTCTGTAGTGGAACTACGTAGAATTTATTTGAGGATGTTGCTTTCGTCCAGTGATGGATCTTGAACATTCGGATCCCCATATATAAGTTTTTTGGGGAAAAAAATTAATAAAGACAAACTACATATAAAGTTTCTAAATGGCGTGTAATTTTCAATTTTTATAACATCTGATTGAACCACTGTAAAGAGAGAAATTTTGCACTGCCAGGTTTGAAAACTGATAGAAAAAAAGAAGAAGAAATTATAAATAATAAATTTCATAAAAGTACATGTTCTACAAAACAGATGCCATTTTACGACATGTTACCACATTTTTGTAACGAACAAATGAATTATCTTCAACTACCCAGTCTAAAGTTCGAAATTTTGAGTATCCCAATTTTATAATTGGTTAAAAAATAGCTGAAATAATGAAAAATTTTTTTCGATTTCGCTAAAACACACTTTCGTCAAAATACATGTCATTTTACGACACCCTTCCGGGCTTTTACATCATACAAATTAAAATTGGCTTGAATCCAGGGGTAGATCTTGGATTTTGAACGTTTGCAACCCTATGCCTGGGTGTCTTTATTCATAAACAAAATAAAAGTCAAAATATAAAATTCTCAAGTAACCCCCAATATTACAATTTTCACATGAAATTCTTAACTGGAATATGGGGGACCACGTGCGGGGCCCATAAGTCGGGCAGTGTCTCGTTTGCATCACCAGTTTTTTAACAGCCCCAAAAAAATCACTGTGTATCAACATATTTGTCTTATTTTTTAATTTCTAATTGTATATCAATGAAAATCTCGTTCAATTCCACTGTATTAGTAAATGATATGTACGGGAAGTTAATATTTATAAGAAAGTTTCTTAATTTCATTCAATTAGATTTAGAAATTTGCCCATTAAATGGTGTTAAAATTCTGCTTGGATCACTGGTAATCGTAATGGTTTTTCCATGTAAATATAAATACCAGTGACTCAGTCACCAGGCCAGACCATTGCACCGGAACTTTATTTAAATTGCAGAATAATTAGAACGCTTTTTTCGGTTATTAATCCCATCAATGTTTATGGTCTGTTTGTTTTAAATGGTTGCACACATTATAGACAGCGTATGTTTGTGTGTGGTGAGCATCTCGGAAAAATCTTGATCTTACTATAGGAGCGGTTTTAGGCGTGGTATAGGAAAGTACGTATATAATGCGAATAGTTACAGAATAGAAAGTCAGGCTTAACATTAAATAATTGCGATATTTGATCTTTTTTTGGTTAATAAATTGAAATTGAAATTGAAATCCTAAGATTACCGAGGCATTAAAAGCACCTAAATGATGCTACTTTATTGTTTTGAAGTTTAACCTTTGGAATGCTTTTAAGATATGCTAATCAAGCGTTTATTCGAGTTGTTAAAATACCTCGCGTTAGTGTTACAACTTTTTAAAAATTCATTGAAAGGAATTGAACACCGTTATCTCGGTCCAAAAAAGGATGTAATCGTTGTAACAGTCTCTACAACAGCTTTTGTGAGGTTTCTCGGCCGATAAAGGCGATAAAAACAAATAATTTAAGTAGTTATTTACTGATTGCTACATTTGGGGTGCAACAGTATTCTCGGGTATGTAAAGGAAAAGTAATAGAAGTGGTTTAAACTTTCGTTTACGATTATATACAGGTGTAGCATTTAATTTACGATTATGGGGTATTTACATATTCAACCGTTAAATTATTGACGAGGAATTTGCACCGAAAGCAAATCTAGTAATTTATTGTACTTGTAGCTTTTAAACGATTTTCATATTACATTTGCAAATTATGTTTTGGCGTTAGATATATCATTTGATTTAGTTAATAGAGGTGCGGCTAAAATACGTTATCAATAACTGATTTGGTGACATTAATAACCTTAAGTAGCTTAAATAGTAGTTAGTATAAGAAGCTAAATTTTTTCAATTAAAATTAGTCGATAAAGTCTTGTTTAAGAAAAGTTAGTGTATTTACCTTGAAATTCATTAAATTCCAGCAAAAGTTTTTCGACTATAGTAAGTTATAATCAGTGACCAATCAATCAATTTTATTTAACTATAAATACATGCTGATATAGATCATTTATTTACTTTATTTTGCTTCGATATAAACTTTTTCCTGATTTTTTTTAAGAAAATTTATTCAGTTTTTCTATTGTTTTAGGACCGTCCCCCAGCATTTTCACCTGTCCCAGCCTTCTTCCGCCGCCTCCGAATAGAGTAGTGTCAGATGACAGTTCAGATCTCAGATTTACCTTGTACCCCATAGGATTAGCCTTAAGTGCCGTATTTTTGGCAGCAACTCTTGCAGCTGGTTCACTTTTACCAGCTAGTCATCATGTACTTCATTGGAGGTGTCAAACTAATCACGTCGCCTGTCTTCTAGTCGGATATGTACTCCTTTGTATCACACAACTTGGAGGCAAAAGCATCAGTTCTGCCCCATGTTTCGCTATCGGTAAGTCATTACTAGTGCACTTTCTTTATTAATTGATTTGAAAACGGCTGCCCAAAAATTAGCGGTCAGAAGTCAGAAGTAGCACAAGAAATAATAATATCAAGAAGTGGATTTTTGTGTTTCGATAATCTGACTGATTTTATATTACGTATATAAAATAAAAATATCTGTATGTAATTAATAAAGTAACATATTTTTATCACACGTACATACACTAATAAACAATTTAAAACAGATTCATGAAATGCGTTTTTGTTTTTGTAAAATGTGTTGGTTTTCTTGTCTTTATATTACGAAGTACGGCTTACCAATTGCATGAGGGGAAATTTAATTAGGAATCGCGCTTTTCGTTTTAAAATAAATTCTGTGCTTGATTTTATTTGAGATGAAAATAGGACGGAGGCAAAAAGCAATTAATTTGCTGAAATGGGGTTTCGGGACGATAATCTCCCGGAGGGATTTTAGTGTATTTATCTTCCGGGATCTTGCACTAACTAACAATCATTGTATTTAATGAAGTTTCTTATGTACTTGTTACCGTTTATCGTTATATACGTACAGGTACCTTCTGTAAATTGAAATTGACGACGAAAGAAATTTGTACTTAGAATTTTCATAGAATTGGTACCCATAAAGAGCAGTGAGAATATCGATAAAATCACCTTTAATTAAGGATTCTAATGACACGTTTGAACTAAAATATTAAAGATGTTTCAAAACTAAATTTGAAAAGAGTATTTTTTTATCAAATGTCTTAGAGAAGATACGTTTAAAGTTGTCACAATTCCATTATCTAATTTTTAAAATTATTTTAATACTCTGTGTAATGAAGTACATATCGTGTTTCATCTCGTTTACGTTATTATGTCGAATCACGAGTCACGCAAATAAATTTTCGCAACCAGCTTCGCATTTTCACCTTGTAACTGTAGTACTGCAGTTGCAGTTTTCACATTCGATACACCGTTTTATGGTTCAAGGATGCATCAAGGTGATATTTATTCTTTCAAAATCACGCGAACACACCCATGAAGAAACAAACTATGGATAATAACGTAGTAATAGATTTTGCTGATGAAGCTAATTATTATTAATGTTCTTATTTGTATAACATCATTACAAAATCCACAAGAAAATTAGTTAAAAAATTTATGTACAATAATAAAGGTAATATCAATTAGAATTGTATAGAAAGGGATGAGAAATAGGGTCAAAGAAATTTTAAGGGATTACCAATTCAGGCATAGATACATAGGATTCAAATAACATAATATTAAATGGAAGAAGATGTTAAAAATACTTGAAATATAGAAATCACACAAATTATAAAATTGGCTCAATATAGGAAGATGTAAAGGTTCGTGTCCAAACAGTCCTTAGGTTGAAGACCTCATGATAACGATGATGTAAGATAATTTTAAGAGTCGGTCCAAGAAGTACCTAATTTTTAGAATAAAAGTAAATTTTGTTTTTCCTACATGTTGCATAATTTAAAGATAGCATTACAGAAAATTCATATTCATATGCGTTTGCATTTTTTAATCGTCTTATTTAAAGCTAAAACTAATGAATTTCTTGGGCACTAAATCGTAAATAGTCACAATTATAGTTTTGTAGTAGCACATTAATCTGTGGTGCGTCCAATCACTGTAGCGTTGTTTATATCGTTATTTATATGTTGCTACATTTACAGAATTCTTTTAAAACAATCGACATGTTGTTATTATACATAGTTGCGTTGGCCAAGGACAGTTGTTGTTATTGGTTATTAAAACGGTCGTAATACGGCAGCATCCCGTTCACTTGTTACATTATTTTGCATTCATTGTATTGGTATTGTATTGCCATTAGTGCAGTAGTTCGCAACAAGAAGACTAGATGTACATATCCAGTATTTTTAACAAGGACATGGCTAAATATTGGAAAACTTGGAAATCATGGAATTTTCAGAAAATTTTTTATGTCGTAAAAGAATCGGGAAATTTTTATTTGGATCTCGAAATTTTCCTCAGAAATTCTGGAGAAATTATGGAAAAATATATGTATACCCTTTTTAACCTTTTTACAGTAAAAGAATCGGAAAATTAGAAGTCCTGGAAAATTAGGAAAAAATATATATGGTATATACTCCTTTATGGCATTCCCTATTTAGACTAATTTGGTCCTGAATCCTTTTGCGGTGTGGTCTAAAACACTGATCCCAAGGGCCAAATGATATAACTATCATGTCCACACGTCTAGGTGCCTGATTTGGCCCGAGCTGTCTTTGCTCTTGTTACGCATATGTACTTAATTCATGTGATTTGGAGAATATTTTATATTTGGGTCAGAAAAATCAATTAAACCTCGGAAACATAAACAGGAATTTTTGCGCTGTGCACGTTTTGTGTATGTGAAACCGTTGCCAAATTGGATTATAAATAGATACGCATACTTTTGTTATTATTAACATGCCTGCAACGCGTCCAAATGTGATTGACCACGGTGATATGAATCATAATAAATAATAAAGATGTGTATCTTCGCGGGACCACAGGAAACTTCATCACACGTTTTGTAGATTATAGAAGACATCAAGGAAGCCCTGGTACATATTTAGGTATACAAAAGTTGTTTATCCGACTGCAACGATTGGTATAATAAATATAGGCCGTGTTTTACAATCTTAAAGGAAATATTTAGAAAATATGTTTTTGTTTTGCTTGTTTAATGGCTTCCTACTGGGATATTAAGTTAATATATCTATATTTATATACCAGGCATTTTCAATTTTTATAGCAACTAAAAAGCAAAAAATAAACATAAATGTAACAAACAATCCTGAATTTATACTTTATATCTATCGGTCTTTTTCATAGTAAGTGAAATAAGTCTACAAAATGTAAAACAATACAGTGTAAACTCTTTATAACGTCACTCGATTTAACGACAAACTCCTTAAAACGTCGAAATTGCTTGACTTTGGTTGGTTTACATTGTTTTCTATACAATATTACACTCTATATAGCGTTACGATCACTCTATTTAACGACAAAAATGCGGCATTATAAATCATTGAGCAGTACTTTGTAAGTTGCCCAAAATAGATAAGAACTGTAGCTGTGTACGTTGGTGAAAAAGACGATCCTGTCCCTCCATCAAGCATCAAACAAGCACTTGATGCAGCGAAACTATTAAAAAAATACTTTTTATATAATGAAATTGATCCAGCAGTATCTCAAGATATGAGTAAGATACGTAACAAAATACAATTAAACTATTGTAGCAGCAAAAAACATCAGACGAAGATAACAGGCTATACGCAATGTATGAATAAAAATGTTCGTGTGCAAAATGTGTACTATATTGGTAAATGCATATTACTACAGAATAGTAAAATAATATCTTTTATTTCTCTCCATTTAACGACCACTCTTTATAACGCCGAAAAATGTTCAGTCCCTTAAGTGTCGTTATATAAAGTTTATACTGTATATAGTTAGAACGATCAAAATTGGTAAAGTCCGCAGTCATTTGTTGCGTTTTGAACACGCCCTTTTGTCAAGTTGAGAAATGCTTCATGAGTAGTGCAGACAAAATCAAAAAAGATATAACTGAATAATAGTAAGCGGTGCAGCGGTTAGAGGTTGCTTAAGTACGAAAAAGATCAGGGTTGGCTTTATAAGTGTCTGATTGGAATTATAGTTCTAAATCTCTGGCAACATCCTTAAATCCTGCTTGTCCGCATCTCTTTCTGTTACACATTAACTGGAGTAACGTTGTTCCTTTTTCTTTATAAGTGCCCGCTGCAATTCCTACCTGACATCTCTTTTCTTTGTTCACGATATTCCCTATAAAGTTTATCGTGAGTAAAAGTAGGCGTTTTGTCAATCTCTTATCTATCTGATTATCCATCTTCTTATGGAGTTGTTATGAGGAACCTGAAGAGGATCGATCGGCATGTCCCAGAAATTTAGACCATTGCTTAGCATTAGGGAGTATAAGGAAATACCCTAATGTTTTTTAAGTTTCACCTGTGAAGGTATCTTACAAAGTTCATGATTCAAGATGCATTTTTTTTCTTCGGTCTCTTCTCACGTATTTCCACCTCAACCTGACTTGCAGCGCAACATCGAGTACGTAATAAAGAAAAATTGAAAAGTGCCTACGTTTGCGTGTGTGTATATATATGACGTGCATTTGAGTGTGTATGTACAACCATTGGCATCAGACAAGGGCATGTCTATGTCGTTCCACGACAATAACGATGGTACAACTTGTACGCATACCCACGTCAAGTACGTTTCTAAACTTGGCTCTTCTCTATACACGTTTAACAATCTTTCGTCTTCTTTACCATTGCTATGCGGTCACTGACATCCACTCGAATTTTTTTTATGATCGAATGTTATTCAATTTCAATCTCGGTCGAAAATCAGTTGCAAGAGATATTAAATGGCGTGAGCAAAAAAAAAAAAAACGCTTTTAAAATGAATTATTATTAAGTACTGACCGTCAGAGGAGCCAGGAGCTTCTTTGAATAGCATACTGATGCCTAGTACTAGTGTTGTAACAGGCCTCTGCTTCCGTAATTACGGAAGTTTATATATTTTCACATCCACTTCTGCATCTGGTTCCGCATTCTTATAACGGAAATTTATCGGAACCTAACAAAAATTCTTATTTCTCATTTTTTTTTTACCGGAACAATAAAACAAGTCAAAACATTGCTCGTTGCAAAGCTGTATGTTGAGCAGGCACCTGCACCAGCTTTCAGCTACCCCTCTGTAACATTGTGAACGTATTATTATCAACCGTTTATGTTTATGAAGTATTAGCGTTTAGTATTAGAAGTATTTATTATAGTGTAAGGCTTAAATCTATTTCCTACTCTTTTGTATGTCGATATTTTTCAAATTTTATTCTCTTATTGGTTTCCTACTTTAATCTAAAAACTTTGAGGAGTTTTAGCTCCCCCTTAGCAATTTTCCTAATAATTCAAAACATAGCTGGAATTGCTC